TATTATAAAAGATTAGATACGTGTATAGCAATATCCATATTCACTCCGTGCTCTTACGAAGCGGGAGAACAGCGTCCAGAATTCATCTCAAGGTAAGGTAACTACTGGATCTGCTCTTGCTCAAGGCCAAGTACCCAGAGATAAATATATGTTATTTGCCGGCTGGGAGGTCCTTATGGTGAAAAACTGTGACCGAGGTCTTGAAAATGCTGCTCGAGACCGTAGGCCGAGGGCAGCATTTTCAAGGCCGAGGTCACAGTTTTTCACCATGAGGACCGACCCTTAGCCGGTAAATAACATATTTATTTTTTTTAAACTTGACGAAATTCATTCCGAAAGAACCCGAATGATTTAGGACTGTAAATACAGCAAAATCCTCCATAAACTGAACAGTGGGGGAGAACACTTTCATAAAAGTGATTTAAAAGGCTTCCAAACAAACTTTGAAACGTTATTATACAAGTATCTGTCACAATCTGACACCTGTCAATTAGAGAGCGCGTAAGAAAAGAAAAAAGCGCATGTAAATTTTTAAAAAACAACGAAACTAGTTTGGCAAGGACTATCACCACAATGTTTTCTTCTAAAACAGTCAATGATCTTACGGAAAGTATTATTCACTCTCGTCGACGATTAATTTATGTACGAAGATTTACCTTTTTTCATTAAGTAATCGGCGAGGAAAGTAATTGTAAGTAAATTCAAATTTTTTGTGTTGAAGTTGTGAGAGTTTGCTCGTTTGTTTGCTGCAATGGCGTGTGAAAATCTGGTCTTTCCTCCGCAAAAACTAAATTCGGATGATATACTCCAACGAGACACAAGGGGATTTCATGCGGCCTTTTCTCATTTAATTCCCTAAGTTTCTGTTGTGCAATTTACGATACAAATGTCCGAATTGAACGGACTTGAAAAGACTCACCGAGAGCGTATATTTGTTGCAGAACTGAAATTAAAACTTCGCACGCCTTTTCACCACGAACAAATTGTTTGAGAAAATTCAGATATTAAATGAATGAAAGTTCCATCGATTAGTTCAACTGTAGCCAAATATCTCACGTTTTAACTCTCTTGGTACTTTTTGTGAACGATTAAAATCAATTGCAGACGGTTTTTAGGCCGCCTGTCAACCGACGTAATGACATTATTGCTTATACGAAAAAGTCATTCTGAAACGAAAATTTTTCAGTCGACCAAAGTGACTTGAGAGAGAGAAAAGAGAGGATTAATAAGTTATTTATCGGCTTGAGGTAGTGACCGACTTCTTTGCTTAAAAATACTGCCCAACCGGTAAAACGAGATATATTTATGAAAAATAGCAACGAATGAAGGGATGTACTCGGCGACTCACGAAAGCGTTACCGTTGCCCGTGGGCAGAGATAGGAAAATACTGACCGGGTAAAGAACCAATCAGATTGCAGGATTCGTTACCGTGCCCTCTGAAAAAAAATAAAAGTGATTACTCATCTGACGTGTTTTATTATGATTTTAGTTTTCATAAACAGAATATGAAGCGTTTTGTTATGCTGCTGGTTACTCTGGCGGTGGCGAATTCATTTTCCTTGGAAAATGAGGAAAACGCCGCGCTGAAAACGAAGGTAATGTACTACCACAAGAGCTTCGTGTGTTTCAGATGAGCTATCACGTTCATAGCGTTAGCGACATTTATTTTCACATTTCATGCAATGTCAGAAATAATGCAGAAGTGTCTTATTTTATTTCAACGGGTCTAAAAAAAACTATTGATTAATTTTTGGCCTTTTATTTCATGATGTAAACTGAATCAATCAAAAAGCATTGCGGTTTAAATGGCAACTTGGTTGTCGAAAGTAATCAGGGATTGTACCGACTCTGACGAAGAGCTAACACTCGAAACTTCAGCTTTAGAAACTCTTTATGGAGATCGATTTCCATAAAACCAAGTAATCATGTGATATCCCTCACCAACGCAGCAACACAGATTCTTTAGAAAATTACCGTCTTTATTCGGGGTCTGCATTAGCTTTGCTTCGCTTCTCCTTGTGTGTGGTCTAAGACATTTACGACAATCTATCAGCCAATCAAATGCAAAACTAAAACCAATCACAACTTGATTATTTCCCGTTTATTCCCGCATTAGACAGTTTATCTGTTTATACCTCGAGTTTTCATTGTATTGTGTTGTGTTATTTATTTTGATTTCCTTTTTTGTTCTTGTTGTTGTTCCATGATACTCAATCAAGACATCTTCGCTTTAAGTCTTTCTTAGTGTCGATAGCTTTTAGATGATATCACTAAATCGTTGTTTATCATTACCACTAACATTGACAAGACCATTTTAATTTAAAGGTTCTGGGTCCTAGTGTACAAGATGCTGGTGATCGCAGGATCCTACCCAAGATACTCACGGCTGGTGAGTGCATTTCAACTTTTTTTCTGACACTGAGCAGATTTTTTTAAAGTCAAAGTTGAACAAAGATACCCCCCCTTCCCCCCCCCCCCCCTCACACACTCAAATGTCGTTTAAGTGCAGTTTTCAATTTTTCTGGATTTGCAGAAGAAAAATTGGATCTATGAATGTAGCTGAGATAAACCTTCTCTCTAAAAGCACTGCACCAGTGTGAGTTTGACGCATAGATATCAGTGCTCCAAAAATTGTGCGTAACTCGCGCGGGCCAGAAGAGAAAACTATTAACCAATACTGCTACATCAGTAATTAGCTGTTGTTTGATATCCGTTCAAATATGTTATTTTCAAAAATTAAAAATGGAGCAATAACAATTTCAAACGTTATCAATTACCTTTGCAGAAACCCGTTTCGCTCGACAAAGTAGTGAGGACAGCAATGTTGGTCGGTCATCAATGGATGCCAGTGTCAGCGGAGGACAAAAAAATAGTCAACAGGATTGGGGCATCAATGGTAAACGAGGTTGGGGCATCAGTGGTAGTTATCATCGAGGCAATTGGGGCGTCAGTGGTAGTTATGGGCGTAACAATGGCAAATCGAGAGTGGGCATCAGCGGTAGTTATCAGCGTAACAATGGCAAATCGAGAGTGGGCGTCAGTGGTAGTTATCAGCGTAACAATGGCAAATCGAGAGTGGGCATCAGTGGTAGTTATCAGCGTATCAATGGCAAATCGAGTGTGGGCATCAGTGGCGGATGGGGGAGGAACAATGGCCGACCGAATTGGCAAGTCGGTTTCAATTATCGAAAGAAATTTGGTAAAAATGGTTGTTGTTGTTGTTTTTGTAGGCTTCAAACAATCCCTCCTTGCGGCGAAGTTCGTTGAGCGAGTCCAAAAATTTCAGTGAGACAAAAAAATGAAGTTAGCGCGCCGCGGGCAGTTTTGGGAGTGTGGTGCATCATTCTTTAAAACTCCTCTAACCCCACCCCCGTTGTTTATCTATCCATCCATCCATCAATCTTTCCATTCATCTACTAATCCACCCTTTCATTCATGCACCCAATATTCTGGTAATGGCTGGCAATTTCGTGATAAAAACAAGAAATCAAGGGTTTAGATAAGTAAGACCCCTTCTTATAGTTGGGCGCACTGATAATTGGCAACGGAAATTGAGTGCTTTTTTCGGCAATTAAGCATTTTAAAGAGAGCCAAACTTTTCAAGTCCGAATCCCTCACGCTAGCGATTTTTTTTCATATTTCAGACCCACAGGTGAACTACTTAGGAGGAAGTAAAGGTCCACGTCAGAACGGTATGAGAAAATATGAATGAAACCTGTGCTGTGCTGTGTAACTTAAATTTTATTTTCTTCATAAATTTCCAGTTCCATATCGATCTCTAATTTTGATTAATTCTCTCACATTTCAGGCCTACCTTACAACATTCGGAAGAAATAAAGGTCAACGCTCCAATGATATGGGGAAATGTGAAGAAGAAAGTGTCTTAATTTGTTAAGCTTTAGTAAGAAACATAGCACAGACTCGATTTTGTAACAATACTTAATAATTCTAATGATAAAGAAATGGCAAAAGAAGCAAAGAAAGGATTACAAAGAAGCAAAGTTCGGTGTTTACGTATTCATTTAACCCTTTACACCTTAGTATCAATATTCATATTCTCCTGACTTCTCTCTTTCCATTTCATATGGCACTGACAAGGAGAATTTTATTGACAATCAGGAGCTTCTCAAATTGGTGATCATTTCCTTTATTCTCATGACCTTAATGTTTGATTCAAGGGTGAAATCGTAAAGAGAAATCAGAAACCGGTCACCTTGAGGGGCAAAAGGTTAGTGCTGGTTTGGGAGGGTCTTCGCGTATCTCCGAATTTAAAGGAACGAATGAACAAGTTAAATAGAGGTTAGGGTTTCAAAAATGGATTTGCGTGTAAGTTTTCGCCTTAAGATCTCCGAGAGTTGCTTGCAGATGCTTATGAGGCTCCTGGAACTGGTTTATACACAATCATGCCCCTCGACAAAAATTAAACCGATAAATATGGTTTTTCATCAGGGATTAAAAGGCGATTATGACTGGCTAATAACCGTATTTTTTATATAGCTGGCAGCGCCCCTGGGAAATACGAAGCGAATCCTGTTTCCTGATTGGCTGCCTGAGCGGGTAGGATGGGCCCATCTTGCCTACTTTGATCTTCCCCAAAAAAAAAGCGCGTGGAGGGGACTTACAATGTTCGCAACTTTTGCACAATTTCGGCGCAAAAAAACGGCAGAAGACAGTTAAATGTCGCATATTAATGTTAGGCCTCGTCCACTTTTAAACTTTCCCAGGCCTTGAAAATGATATTGTAAGATTGCATGACATTCAGGGAATTTCCTCTACCTTATGAACCCTGCATGATTTGAATGTAAACAGAAGTGTGCTGTTAGTCTGTTATGAAGTTGTCCATCTCTGATCTCCAGATACGACCCTCTATCTGAGCAATACGCAGGCGTTTCAGGATACTGCGGTTTTGTCTTTTTACCTCGCCATTTGCTTGTGGCCATAAGGGTGTGGTTCACACCCTTATGGCCACACCTCACACCTCACACCCTGAGCACCAGAATCAATAATCATTGTTACAGGCACACCCCCCTACTTCCACAGAAATCTTGCCATCACTTGAAACATTTGAATAATCTGGTATACCAAATACATATTCACAGTCACCACTCTGTTTATCTTTAGCTTCTACTTGCCTTATATGATGGTGTCCACCACTCCTCCTTCTACTATCAGGCCTACGCATTCCTCCAGCTCCTCGGCCTCGGCCACTATTTTGTCTCCTCTTTGTTTTACATACAGCCTAGAAATGTCCTGTCCCATTACATTTTCTGCACTGTTTCCCTCCAGCTGAGCATCGTTGATCGTTAGCTTTATGTCCCACATTTCCACAACAAAAACATTTAACATTCCTTGTGCTCGGGCATTCTTTGTGATCCACCTTTCTGCCCACACTATTAACCCTGTTACTTGCATTGCTTGCTCCTTCAATCGAACGGGCTGTTACTCAGACTCTTCCATAGCACGGGCAATTTCTCTCAATTGTTGCAGAGTCAAGGCTTGACCTTCTGAAGTAACTTTCGACGAAGTTCGTGCGACAAACACTTAATAATAACTTGATCACGAATTTACTACTCCACAGCGTTTGCATCTCCAAATTCACAGGTTGGGGCTTTCTGTCTCAATCTGGTCACAAACTGTTTGACGGTTTCGTTAGTTTCACGAAAACAAAGCCATTCGTACGGAACATTCGCTTACGGTTTGAAATATTTATTTAAGGTCGCCGTCGCTTTCTGATCGTTATCCGACCCTCCCTCTTCGTTTAACATGAAATAAATATCTTGAACATCTAATCCAGCAGTATAGAGCAATAACGCCTTCTTCTGATTGACATTTTGAACTCCTCTTCCCTTTGCAAACAACTCAAAAGCTCGCAGCCATCTTTCCCAGCGTGCGGAGATACCAGCAGTTTCAGGGCAGTCAAATGGCTTTAAAAACCGTGTATCGCCTAAATATATACTTGACATCTCGACCAAAAGCTACTTACTATCGTCCTCGTCGCCAAAATGTAGTGTATTTACAAATTTGACACAAACAGTAAAGAACACCTTTGAAAGGAATCCAACAAGTTGTTTTCATTATTAACATCGCAACACGCATGCTCCGATATACAAACAAGGGGGGTGGGGAGGGTTGACTTAAACATTCAAAAACTCTACAATAATACTTTCCGTTCGATCAGACTGTTTTTGAAGAAAACACTGTCGTGACAGTCTTTGCCAAACTAGTTTCGTCTTTTTTTAAAAGTGAACATGCGCAGATTGTTACAGATACTTGTAAAAATAATGTTTCAAAGTTTGTTTGGAAGCCTTTTAAATCACCTTTATCATTACTCAAATGAAAATCTTTCGATGGAGCATCTCTCAAGTTTAATTTGCATCACCTCTATGACTCGCTCAAAAATTTTTCAGTTTATGGGAAATCTTGCCGTATTTACAGCCCTAAATCATTTGGGTTCTTTCGGAGGGAATTTCGTTAAATTTAAAAAACCAAATAAACATGTTATTTACCGTCTAAGGGCCGGTCTGTATGGTGAAAAACTGTGACCTACGGCCTCGGGCAGTATATTCAAGACCTCGGCCGCAGTTTTTCACCATACGAACCTCCCAGCCAGCAAATAACATTTATGTATTTCTAATAAAGTTTCGATATAACGCGTGCAGTCATTAGTTGAAAGAGCGTGCTCTATGAGAGTATAGAGCATAGAGCTGAGCTAAAGCTGTCACCCCATCTGCCAAATTGTACTATGTTTGACCTTTTCCGGGACTTCTCTCTGGCTTTTTTTCGTTAATTGAAAGTGAAATTTCGGAACAAGCGAGCCGGCAAGTAGCAACAGAAGAACCAAACAAAGGTTTTTAAAAAGGCCAGTCGCCGTAATTTACGTTATTATAACGTGAGCAGAGACGAAAATCCTCAAGGAGAAAACGAAATGGACAGTCCGAGTTTTAGAGGTTTTCACGCTTAGTTAGATGGCAAGCTTATGTACGGTAATAAAAATCAAACACAGCTAACACTCGTATAGTAAGTAAAGTTTCCTGATCAAAAACAAAACAGAACAAAACAGGAATGATGAAAAAAATAACCAAACTGGAATAACTGTTAAAATTCATACTAATCATGCCGGTGTCAGAGCGACTGCGATCACGCCGAGGTCCATCGCGGCTAGCTCATCATCGCGATCCTCGGTCATCGCAGTGAAGCAAGGCTCAGGAACTACATCGGGCGCCCTTCGAGTGAAAGAATGATAGCTTGCTCTGATATCCTCTCCGATGCGCTGTCATCCCGAGCGATCTTTATGTTCCGGTGAATTCGGCTGTCGTTCGTTCATAAAACACTCGCCTTGATCCGTTTGTTTTCTACTTGTCATGTGAAAAAACTTGCGTGTTTTTTTATAAGCCACAATTCGGCTGAGTTTCATTAAACATTTCACTTTAAGATTCTGTATTAGAGACTAAAACACTTTAGGCAGAAGTGTTAAATTCGACTTGCCGAACTATTTAATTTAGTTTGTAAACTATTACAGAATGTGAACTTTTGATGGTTTTTGAACTTTGATGATTTGACATTTTTGACAGCTTTAGTCTTGTACAGCCAATCAGATTATTTAAACCATTCTAACAAGGATTCTGATTGGCTTATTGTAGCATGCTTTATGAGAGTATACAGCATGCTGACGACACTGTTGTTCGCTTTGGAAATAAAGTTTGTTTTGAAAATTGAAAGTAATGCTTGGGAGTTTGCTTGGGGAATTTATATACATTTATATATATAAAACAAATTTAGAAGCCTTAACTGTGCTCTTTTCTGTTTTAAAACACTTAGGAAGCCGGTAGAGCACTCAAGAAGTGGAGAGAAACACAAGACGTAGTCGAGTGTTTCTCCCTACACTTCTTTCGTGCTCTAGCCGCTTCCTGCGTGCTTTACAACAGAACAGAGCACAGTTAAGGCTTCTCTATTTGTTAAGTATTTGAGTCCTTACTGTACAAACTTGACCTATGTACACAAACGATATTTGTTTTCGTTGGTTACAAATTGCCTGAATTTAGGTTCGAACCGTACGGGTGCGAAACTTCCTTATGTACGAAACTATTAGATAAGTGTTTAAGAGGTTCTACTAAATATTATTTTCCATGTCAAGTATGTTTAAAGCAAGTATGATGAAAAAAATATTTGCATATACATTTCCAATTGCAGCATTTTTAGGAATAGGAGTATAGCTATAGGCATTTTATATATGTTAATACATATGCAAATAAATATTTTTTTGTTTCGTTTTTGATAACGTTTTTATTTATTTCATTATTATTTCTCGAAAATATTGGCTAATTTTATATAGCAACTCTGAAATTCGGGTTTAAATAAATGATATGTATGTATGTGTTTTGTCATTACTGTACAATCTTGACCTACGTACAAAATCGATATTTTGTTTTCGCTGGTTACAAATTGTCTGAATTTAGGTTCGAACCGTACGGGTACGAAACTGATACACACTATCATGCATTAACAGTGCTAATTAGTAATGTTTGGATGTTACAAAAGATTAAATACGTACATAGCATTATCCATACTCACTCTGTGCTCTTAAGAAGCAGGATAACAGCGTCCAGAATTCATCTCAAGGTAAGGCAACTACTGGATCTGCTTTTTTTCTTGGTTCTGTATTATCTGACTTAATTCATGACTCAGTTCATTAAGTTATATTACCAACAAATTTAAAGGAGGTCAAATCTATTTCCGTTCCTTCCTCTACTTTCTTCATACTTAATTCTTCGCCGTAGTCAGCCATATACGAATTTAGGACTAATTCTGTGACTTAAGTAACCTCTTGGAGCCTGTGGTTTAAAATCAAGAATTTAACCCGTCTATTCCAACAAAGCGACCAAGAATGTTGCCGCTGCTCCCACATGGAATGTAAGTCTGTTGAAAGTTATCCCTTTCAGCTTTTTGGGGGTTTCAATGTTCCATATCTACGGGTAATCGAATTGTATTTAGTATTATGAAAGCGCAGAGCATCACTAAAAGGGATGTCTTCCCCGTAAGCAAAATTCGGGATAGATGATCACATAGTCCTGGATACTTCAATGGTCACAACTTCAGTGAGAACTAACTCAACCAAGTACCCAGAGATAAAAGTGATTACTCATCTGACGTGTTTTATTATGATTTTAGTTTTCATAAACAGAATATGAAGCGCTTTGTTATGCTGCTGGTTACTCTGGCGGTGGCGAATTCATTTCCCTTGGAAAATGAGGAAAACGCCGCGCTGAAAACAAAGGTAATGTACTACCACAAGAGTTTCGTGTGTTTCAGATGAGCTATCATGTTTATAGCGTTCACGACATTTATTTTCACATTTGATGCAATTTTCAATTAAGTGTCAGAAATAATGCAGGAGTGTCTTATTTTATTTTAACGGGTCTAAAAAAACTATTGATTAATTTTTGGCCTTTTATTTCATGATGTAAACTAAATCAATCAAAAAGCAATTGCGGTTTAAATGGCAACTTGGTTGTCGAAAGTAATCAGGTATTGCGTCGACTCTGACGAAGGGCTAACACTCGAAACGTCAGCTTTACAAACTTTTTTATGGAGATTTCCATAAAACCAATTAATCATGTGGTATCCCTCGCCAACGCAGCAACACAGATTCTTTAGAAACTTACCGTCTTTCTTAGTGCTGATTGCTTTTAGATGATATCCTTAAATCGTTATTTATCATTACATCTATTATTGACGAGACCATTTTAATTTAAAGGTTTTGGGTCCCCGTGTACTAGATGCTGGTAATCGCAAGATCCTTCCGAAGATACCCGTGGTTGGTAAGTGCATTTCAACTTTTTCTACTGCTTTAGTTTTGCAAAGTGTCACTATGCAGTTTTTTTTTTTTTATGTCAAAGTTGAACAACGATAATCCTCCTCACTCACTTGTAGTTTAAGTGCAGTTTTTTAATTCTTCTTGATTTGTAGAAGAAAAATTGGATCTATGAATATAGCTGAGATAACCCTACTATCTGAAAGCACTGCACTGATCAGTGTGGGTTTAACGCATAGATATGAGTGCTCCAAAAATTGTGCGTAACTCGCGCGGGCCAGAAGAGAAAACTATTAACCAATACTGCTACATCAGTAATTCTTTGTTGTTAGAGATCGGTTCAAAGTTTTCATTTCCAAAAAGAAAAATAGAGCAATGACAATTTCAAACGTTATCAATTACCTTTGCAGAAACACCTCTTACTCCACAGAGTGCTTGGGGCAGCAATGTTGGTCGGTCATCAATGGATGCCAGTGTCAGCGGAGCACAAAAAAATAGTAAACAGGATTGGGGCATCAATGGTAAACGAGGTTGGAGCATCAGTGGTGGTTACAATGGACGCAATTGGGGCGTCAGTGGTGGTTATGAGCGTAACAATGGCAAATCGAGTCTGGGCATCAGTGGCGGATTGGGGAACAATGGCCCATCGGGTTTGCACGTCCGTATCGGTTATCAAAAGAAATTTGGTAAACGTAATTGTTATTATTGTTGTTGTTGTTGTTGAAGAGTACGAACAGTCCCTCCTTTCGGCGAAGTCCGTTGAGCGTCTCCAAAGAATTCAGTGAGACAAAAAATGAAGTTAGCGTGCCGCGGGGAGTTTGGGAGTGTGATGCCTCACTCTTAAAACTCCTTACACACCACCCCCGTTGTTCAGCTATCCGTCCATCCATCCATCCTTCCATTCATCTGCTAATCCATTCATCCATTCACGCACCCATTAGTCTGGTAATGACTAGCAATTTGTAAAAACGAGAATTCAGAGGTTAAATAAGACCCTTTCCTATAGCTGGGTGCACTGATAGTTGGCAAAGGATATTAAGTGCTTTTTTCGGGCGTTTAAGCTCTTTAGAGAGAGCTACACTTTTCATGTCCGAATCTCTTACACTGGTGATTTTTTTTATATATTTCAGACCCACAGGTGAATTACCTATCGAGAAGTCAAGGTCGACGCCAAAACGGTATAGGAAAATATGAATGAAAACTGTGCTAACTTAATTGTTTCTTTTTTCAATTAATTGCCAGTTTCATATCGATCTCTAATTTTGGTAAATTCTCTCACATTTCAGGCCCACGTTACAACATTCGGACGAAATAAAGGTCAAAGCTCCTATGATATGAGGAAATATAAGGAAGAAAGTGTCTTAATTTGCTAAAATTTCGTAAGAAACGTAGTATTTGGACTCGATTTTGTAACAATACTCAATAATTTTAATGATAAAGAAATGGCACTAAGGAGCAAACAAAGGATTAAAAAGGAGCAAAGTACGGTGTTTGCGTATTCATTTAAACCTTTACACCTTAGTATCAATAATTATATTCTCCTGAATTTTCTCTTTAAATTTCATGTGGTACAGATAAGGAGAATTTTATTAACAATCAGGAGCTTCTGAAATTGGTGATCGTTTCCTTTATGCTCATGACCTTAATGTATGATCCAAGGGTGAAATCGTAAGGAGAAATCAGAAACCGGTCACCTTGAGAGGCAAAGGATTAGTGCTGATTTGGGAGGGTCTTCGCGTATCTCCGAACTTATAGGAACGGATGAACAATTTTAATAGAGGTTAGGGTTTCAAAAATGATATCTTAGTGTAAATTTTCGCGTTAAGATCTCCGAGAGTTACTTTCAGATGTTTATGAGGCTCTGCGTTCTTTAAGGTTCATACACAATCATGCCTCTCGACAAAAATTAAACTGATGAATATGGTTTTTCAAGAAAATCCTGTTTCCTGATTGGCTACCCGAGCGGGTAGGCTGGGCCCATCTTGCCCACTTTGATCCTGCGCAAAAAATAAAGTGCATGGAGCGGACTTACAATGTTCGCAACTCTTGCACAATTTCGGCGCAAAAAGCGACAGAAGACAGTCAAATGTCATATATTAATGTTAGGATTCGTCCACTTTTAAACTTTCCCAGGCCTTGAAAATGATATCATAAGATTGCATGACTTTCGAGGTATTTCCTAAACCGAAGAACACTACATGATTTATATGTAAACAGAAGTGTGCTGTTAGTCTGTTATAAATTGCACCTTAAAAGAAAAACTGAGGATGGTTCATCGTGGGTTGGTAGGACAAATTCTAAACAGCTTTGTCTCTGCCACAATAAGGTTAAATACTTAAAAAAAATGTCTTTATCTGGCCTTGAATCATTACACATCCTAATTTTAAAAACGTTGCCATGGAAAAGAGCTAGTAGAAATAAAAACACAAAAAGGCAAATAAGGAGTCATTAGCATATAAATTACCTTCTCATGATCTAAAAAGTTTTTTTTTTCTCTCTCATTTTTATTTTAAATCAACGGTGTTATCGACAGCAAGGATTTATTTCTCTCTAGGAGAAAGTTAGACTTCCTTAATCAAATTCCTCTTCGGCTTTTTCCCTTTTTTTCCAATACATTTTTAGTTGTTAGCTTTTTTTTTTTCAACAATCTACAGTCACATTATTATTCGAAATTACCTCTAAAGATTGCCTTATTAAGTTCTGTGTGGCTTATTCCATTCTTTGAAATGTATTTTTTTAAATTTCTGTCGTTTTCCATGACAACAACGTTGAAATTTGAGGTAACTTTTCGCTGTTACAAAAAAACCCCGTCTAAATGGCCAATGACGATGGAAAATTATGCTCTATAAATAAAGGCCAAAACATGAATAGAAAATTATGCAATGCTTGAAATTTCACACTTGTAATTCATTGAATAAACAGACGCTTCAAGCTGTATTGGGAGAAAACAAATAACTGCGTGTTTTCCCGCTGATAAGCGAAATATTTTTTCCTTTTACCTCTCCAAGTCCACGATATATAAGATTGATTCATAGGGAAATAATAATTTATTCTTTGTTGCATGCAAAGGTTTCGTATAATTTCATATAAACCCAGAGACCTCGGGCTAAGTAATTAAGTACCTTGTATGACATGTTTACGGGGCTGCTGTAATACGAGTAGAACTCCTAATTTGGCCTGAATTTTGGGTTCACTATCTAAATCTTGGGTGTAAGAAGTCACTATTTATATTCTCTCGACACTGAAATCTTCAACATGGTGCGGGCGTTAGCGATACGCATGCAATTTATATTTGTGTTATTAACAATTTTCGCTATTCTAATTTCATATCATTGATAAAGAGGTAGCGCCCCAAGAGGAAATAAGATTCTCCCAATCAACTCCCGGTAGCCTGGCTTTTTTATATCTCTTAATTAATTTTTGCTTTTAGCCTTTTTTTTTACAACATTTTTGTTAAGAGCAACTCTTCCCATTATCTATTGAAACATCGTTCAACGACCCAGTGATGGAATAATTGTGCACTGCAAATATTGGATAGCGAAACCAAACATGCAAAGTAAATGAAGAGCTTCAAATTTCTCATTGTTAATTCATTGAATAAACGACATTTCAAGCTTTTGAAACAAATAACTGGCTGTTTTCTTACAAGATGGTAATGCCTCGCTAGTGAAATGGTTCCTTTTTCCATTTTTTTTTCTCTACAAGACTGAGACGTTCGGAACTTTATCCTATGTTGTAAGCAAAAGTTAAAAAAAAAAGTTCTTACAAACCCAATTACCTTGAGCCAAGAATAAACCTCGCATGAAATACATATGGGGCTGAAGTATAAGACGGGGGGGGAGGTGGTGTGGGGTTCTTATTTGGCCTATATGGAATGTGCTGGAAAACTATTACGGTCTCAGGATACAACATTTGTGATTGATAAGCGGGTGTATAGCATTTCACTAAATAAAGCCTCTTGAAAATTAATACGTATCTCTGGACCAAAACTTTTAAACTAGATGCGAGCCTAATGGATACGTGGTCATAAACTTTTTTTCTTAACTTAACCTCACTGCAAATGCAACATCATTATATAAAAAGGAAAAAAAAAAAAAAAGATTGACGGCGCAATCGTACTAAAATTGTTCTTAAGTGAAATGTTTCACTTAAGTGTCTCCCTACACCTTCTGTCTTGGATTCTATAATTAAAACTCTCTTTCGAGACCTGCTGTGTCTATTTTGGCCCCGGCGCTGATCGACGAGAGCATTTGTTGACCCATTGTGTAAAAACTGGGAAAGTTTACCATTTGTAACAGCTTCTCTTTATGGTAAATTCATATCAAATGCTCGACAAGACTTTTATATTCGTTCAAATAAAATGCCACCTGCTAGCAGACAAGAAAAGCCACTTCAAGACACATCTGACAGATTTTTATTCGAAAGAACTTCCCCAATTCAATTAACAATTAATGTATTCGGCTAACGTCACCTCAAGGAGTTACGCTAAAATTTTAACTACCCGCTCTCCTGGCTAGAATTAACAATCTAGCTGCGATTCAGAAGAGGGGTTTTATATAGCAAAGATAATCTATTGAAATTGATAGACGATGTAACATCATAGATATGGCAATTTGCTGCCTACTCGAGGTAAGGTTTGTAACAAAAAATATGTTATGCAAATGTTGGAGAAGAACTTCCCGTGTCATATCTTCTAATCAGTTCGCCTTCGTGCGTCTTTGTAAACTAATAGGCACACAATTCCATGGAAGAGTATTTTTTATCTCTTGAATCTTCGAAGGAGAATGTTGGCTCGACTATGTTTCATCACTCATTTACAACTTTGCTAACGTTCGTTTAGAATTAAATCCGAAAGAAAATTATTTCAATTAATTAGTATTAAAAGATAAGGTGTAACGAAAGTTCATCTCGATTCAATTTCCTTGAGAAGTAAAAAGTTGATAAATAAGCCAAGTTTTTTGTTTGTTCCTGTAAGAAATTGTGTTCCTTCCACCTCAGTTTTGCTTGTTAAATTCGCGGGAAAATGTTTATGTAGCTCTTTTTAGGAACATAAAATATTAACCACACGGAAAAATATCATCCTTTTCCTATGAATAGTTTAGGAAACTCTGCAATGATATGAAAGCAGTAGGTCGCACTTTTCAGCATAAAAACCTCCGCGGAATGCGGGAAGAAAAGTTGTAATCCCGAGCCGAAGGGGAGTAATACACAACCTCCTCGTGAGTTGAACCAACTCAAGTGCAGTCTATTTCTTTTACAAAGTAGTTATGATGTTATCGGTTCAATCAGCGATAGGTTTTTCGCCCATGTGGGTGCGTGCAGTATCATGGTATTACTCTGAGTGTTTATGAATAACAAAAACCGTTGGTGATTTTAAGCTTAGGGTTAAATCATGCAATCTTTTCAAGGAACACAAAATGAAATCAGGCTTTCACAAGGAATATGCAGGGTGCAAACTTCTTAAATCTTATACCCCAAACTTGAATTGATTTGACTCGACCGAAGACTGACGAACAGAGAAGTAAATGAAATTGATTCCATACAAAGGAATCGCTAAAGAAGTTTCAGGTGCAAAATCGCACGAGACCTTTTCATCCACCGACCGTGAGCAGCTTTAGAACCAATTTTCAAAACGTAATAAGTGACGACTTGGAAATACGCAGTAGCTTTCATTTCAGTGCTCAAACTTTGGCGTCATTTATTGTCTTAAAGGTTTACAATACCTTGGACAACATTATAATCATCTCCATCTGAAAGGCATACACACTGAGTAGCTATCATATCATTGCAATGGCCACACATTGGGTTCCCTCGTCAGACCCAAAGTGAGAACTTGAGCGCGTTAGATGCGACCAAAACTGCAGGTGGATCACAATTAACATAATTGCGATTAACAGACCCGCCAAAAGCTTTACTAAAACACTTGTTCGACGGACTAGAATTATAATCCATTTCCCATTTATGCACAAATTTCAAATTTCTTGTATTTTCAATAATTTATCTCCTGAACGACTCTCTAACTTCATATTTTCAAAATAAAAGACAAAAAAAAGTTATACTACTATTCGTTCGCCGTGAGAGTCTTGGAAAAACTTCCTGAAGAGAGAAAGAAATTAACGAAAAAATAAATATGCTTTTTTTGTGATTGCAATGCCAGAAACAAAGCTCATTTGCATCAAGACTAAATGTTAGGAAAGTTAAAAAAAACAGCCTTTTGAATAAAACTGATATTTTACAATGTTTGACAGAAATATATTTATGCAAATTTGAAATGTTAAAAGGCTCAAATTAAGTAAGCGCCAAAGACTATACATAACAGTCTTCCAATTCGCTAGTTTTAATTTTGAAAACCATGCCAAAAATTAAAATACAATACGCTTTGATTCGCAACTGTATCTCTTCCTATGGGAAACTTTTTGTGTTTCATTAATGTCACCTTTTTCAGTCATGGAAAACCTATTGCGTGCAAATAAGAACTC